CTCCAGTTTGATTAATCTTAAAGACACTAGTGACCCTGCCTCTGTTAGTAAAGAAGGCCCTGCTAATCCATGGCATGAGGTGGTAAAATTAATACGTGAAATAGCACCACCAATAGATCAAGTACTTGTGAGAAGTGATGCTCTGGGTGATCGGATATTTGATACTTTTCTGCAATTTTGTCAACATGTGGAGTATAAGGAAGCTGGTTGGTTGTTCCTACTTACACTAGACAAAGTGGTGAAAGAGTGGGATAAGCTCAGAGCTGCCGAGTCTCAGCATAAGTGCCACATAAAAGACCTCAGTGCTTCCAGTTGTGCTCTGAAAGTTTTCCAGTTTTACTATATCTTCTAGTAACAGAGCTGATATTGCTGAAAAACAAACCCAGAGTCTTATTGTAAGGGTGGCTGAATTACAACACCAATTAAATTGTCAACCCACAATGGTGTCTGATGTTAAAGTGAGGGCATTGATTGGGAAAAAATGGAATCCTGAAACCTGGAATGGGGACATATGGACAGACAATCAGGAAATCAGGATATGGAGCCTATAAATTCTGTTGAATCCCTCCCATCTGTAGGGATTACTGTAAAAAACTGATTCCACCTCAGTTTGATGGGATTAGCCAAACTGGTCCTGCTGGGTCATTGCCTGAGGCAGAGGCCATGGAAGACATTCCTGAATGCTCTCAGGCACTGCCTCAACCACCCATTGTTGCTGCTAGACCTATAACTAAAGTTAAGTCCAAGCAAGTCCCAAAAGGTGAAATAGAAAGTGTGACTGAGGAGGTGGTATGCTATACCCAAAAAGACCTACTAGATTTTGCTAACATGACAGACAGAAACCTGGAGAATATGTATGGTAATGGCTATTGAGGGTGTGGGATAATGGTCCAAGGAATATAAGATTGGATCGGTCTGAGTTTATTGATTTAGACCCACTAAGTACGGATTCTTCATTCAATGTTTCAGTTCGAGAGGTTAGGAAAGGAGCTAATAGTTTATTTGGTTGGCTTACTGAGGCATGGATTATGCCGTGGCCTACCTTAAGTCAAGTTGAAGTACCAGACCTGCCTTGGTTTAATGTAGAAGAAGGTATCCAGAGGCTTAGGGAAATTGGCCTATTAGAATGGATTTAGCAGATTAGACCCCTAGAGCCAGAAATGGAAAGCCCAGAAGATATGCCTTTCACCAGTACAGTGAGGAATAAATTTGTGAAGGGAGCTCCAGCATCCTTGAAGACTGCTGTGATTGCTATTTTATGTAAACCTGATTTGACAGTGGGAACTGCCCTAATTGAACTAAGACTCTTAACTACGATGGGGCTGACTGGACTCTGTGGTAGTAGGAGCCAAGTGGCAGCAGTTAATCGACAAAACCAAGGTGGGTATGGTTATCGTAATGGACAGCAGAGTCGGAACAGTAATCAGAATTGTCTGACACGTGTGGAATTAGGGCATTGGCTACTTGCTCATGGTGTTTCTCGTAGTGAAATACATGGCAAGCCTACTAAATATTTACTTGATCTGTATAGACAGAAGAATTCTAGGTCATGTGAACAGCAACCTAGATTGAATTGCCAGAATACAGAGTCACGAACTCTCAATCAATTCCCAGACTTGAGTCAGTTTACAGACCCACAATCCCTTGAATGAAGGGGAGGCCAGGTCCCTTTGAGGAAGGACCCCACTACATTGCCAAAAATCTATAATGTCAATTTTTCTCCTAGCCTTCCCCAAAGGGATCTGAGGCCTTTTATGAGAGTGACTGTTCATTGGGGATAAGGAAATAATCAGACTTTTCAGGGATTACTGGAACCCAGTCTAACACATGACCTTAATGATATGAATGTAGTAAAGCTTTCGGGACCTCCAATTGCTGATGTAGAATCACTCAAAATGAGAAGAAACAGCGCAGAGATCCACTAATAATCAGAACATGCAATGTATGAAGTATGAATCTACGAAAATTGGAAGTTGTCAAAAATGAAATGGAATGCATAAAGATCGATATCCTAGGCATTAGTGAGCTGAAACGGACTGGTTTTGGCCATTCTGAATCAGACAACCACATGTCTGAATCAGACAACGACATGATCTACTATGCTGTGAATGGCAAACTGAAGAGGAATGTCATGGCATTCATCATCACAAAGAATGTTTCAAGACCCATCCTTATGTACAATGCTATCAGTGAGTTGCCTGGCATTCGCGAATATAAATTCTTTCTATAGGAATTTATCTATAACCCATCCTTTCAGAAGAAGCTCTGGTGGTGTAGTGCCTAAGGTATTTGACTGCTAACCAAAAGGTTGGTGGTTCAAACCCACCAGCCACTCCATGGAAGGAAGACTGGGCAATCTACCACCATAGAGTAAGCCTTGGAAACCCAAAGGGCAACGGTATGAGTCAGAATCGAATCAATGATCATGCGTTTGGTTTGGTTTTAGTCCTCACAAAGTCCTACAGATTTAGATAACCTGAAAAATGAATTCGGTAACTAAACTTACAAAACTCCTAAGGAAATAAGAAACTAGGAGTGTCAAGAGAAACAACAAACAGCAGAATTAGACCTCTATGATCATCAGCTATGAGAAGTAATAAATACAGAGTAAGAAATAACCATGTATAAAATTATAGAAAGAGAACATTGAAACACGAACAAGAGAAAGTGTATTATAAAAAATGGACAAACCAATTATAATTTATAGGAATGAAAAATAAAATTATTTAAGTAAAAAGCTAACTTTAAAAGATATTTTCTAATACTATTTTAAACAACTAGGAACAATTGATTATGGACTGGATATTAGAGGATCAAGAATCTTTGTTAAGATTTATTTGAGTTGATAATAACATTATGATTATGTAAGAAGCTTCAATGATTTTTAGATGTGTGTATTAAGAATTACATGTTGTCTGGATACTTTGGCAAATAAAAAAATAAAAAAAGAGTAGATGAAGTAAATATTGCAATATGTGGAAAATATAAATTTGAGTAATGTGAAGGTATAAACTTTTTCATAATAAAAATAAAAGGGGAATTCAATGCATTATATACACAGGATGTTGTTGTTGTTGTTGTTATGTGCCATCGAGTCAAACCCGACTCATAGCGACCCCTCCTTGGGTTTCCAAGGCAGTATCACTACGGAAGTAGGGATTGCCCAACCTTCCTTCTGAGGAGTGGCTGGTGGGTTTGAACCGCCAGCCGTCTGGTTAGCAGGCAAGTGTCTTAGTCACTATGCTACCAGAGCTCCCAAATATTAGTTATCACCAAAGAAAAATTAGGAAAGTCAAAGACGGAGCTGAAGAGAGTATCCAGGTTTGAGTAAAACTCAAGGGGAAAAAATATATATAACAAAATAAAAACTTACCTTCCTTTGGGCTCACAGCTGCAGGAAGACAATTCCAATCAAGGGTCCAGGTAGGGCATGGATGGGGAGAAAACATCACTTCAATGCCTTTTTCCTAGAAAAGGAAATAGGCCCTTTCCTAATCAATGTATTAATAAAATTCTGTTATGTGTAGAAGATCAAATTTCTACTAGAAAAGAAGAATATAAATAGTAACAATCATCAGGAATTCTCCAAAATAATTAGTAATATATGAGACTTGCTCTGTTGGGGGTTTTTCTGACAGCAGTTACCTTCCTGTTATTTTTCATACTGAGATATTAAAAAGTAACCCTATTTTTTCATTATTTCCTGGTATTACAGAGAATTAACAAACTACCCAGAAATATAGATCACTTGAGTATAAAAATGTTATCAAAAGCAATGTTACCAAAAGCAATCCACACAGAGATAATCATAAACTGAATCTGCATATATCTGTCAAGCCTGGCTTTTCATATGTGAAAATTCCCAGAGTAGGAACTATATTTACCATACTAGCAGCCCCCACACTTCAACACACACACAAAATCATTACCCACACCAGTCTCTTACAAGTAGCTATAATGTCTCTAGGAAAGGAATTCTTCTGGTTTGAGGAAATAATTCCCAATATTTTCAAAAATGAGGACCCCTTTTTAATATATAAAAAAATTCTCAAGTTCCTTCATCCCATTAAAGTTGTGCATTTATTATTTGATCTGTAGACAATGTCATGACATATACATGAATTCAAATCCCTTTCAATAACATTCTGGGCCCACAGCCCAAAGAATAGATATCCATGGTTTATCTTTTATTTATTTATTTATTTTTTAATCTCCAAGAATACACTGTTCAAAAGAAAACATTCCTGAAAATCAATCATTAACTCTTCTATGTCAGTTACTTCATGGGATTACTATCCCTTATAAAAATTAGCTAACTTCCGGTCCTGAAAGAAATAATACAAAGATATTTTATTGGACCAAGAGATATAACTAAGAAACTCTGGTCCAAACCAAAAAACCAAACTCACTGCCGCTGACTCGGATCTGACTTATAGCAAACCCTCCTTAGGTTTCCAAGGTGGTATCACTATGGAAGTAGAATGCCCAACCTTCCTTCTGAGGAGTGGCTGGTGGGCCCTAGGAAACTACTAATCTGCTTTCCACCTCTTTAGATTTGCTCATGGTATTTTTACCAGCTAGATCCTCTGGCTAGAACATTCTCCCTCCAAATTTTCAATGAACTTAAGTGTTCTCCTCCATGTCATTACGTCCTTAGATAAACCTTCCCGACCTCTGGTAACATAGTGCCTAAGGCACTTGACTGCTAACCAGAAGGCTGGCGGTTCAAACCCACCAGCCACTCCTCGGAAAGAAGATGGGACAATCTACTTCCGTAGTGATACTGCCTCGGAAACCCAAGAGGGGTCGCTATGAGTCGGTCTGACTCGATGGCACATAACAACAACAACAACATATCTAAAAAGGCCCTAGGACTCTATCATCTTTACTCCTCTATGCCCCATTAATTTTTTGACAGCATTTTGTTTTCTTTCTCCTTTGTTTCCCCCACAGAATGTAAGCATCATAAAGGGCAAGTTTACTGTTCAAATTGTTCTTCATATATCTAGCGCTCAAAGCAATGCTTGATATTTAGTTGTTGCTATTGTTGTTATGTGCCATGGAGTCGGACCCGACTCACAGCGACCCCTCCTTGAATTTCTCAGGTGGTTATCACTATGGAAGTAGATTGCCCAACCTTCCTCCGGAGGAGTGGCTGGTGGGTTTGAACCGCCAGCCTTCTGGTTAACAGTCAAGTGCCTTAGGCACTATGCTACCAGAGCTCCCTGATGTTTAGTAGTCAGATATAAATGGTTTTGACTGAATGAACACCTCAGAAGAAAAAGGGAGATTTTGTTGACAAGACTGTGCCAAAGAAAACAAAAGGAAAAAGAAAAGTGAGATGTGAATGCTCCTAAGAAAAATTTCACATTTCTGCTTAGTACCAATTTCATATATCCTCATGTAATTAAAACAAAATATTGTGAGTACTGAAAAGTTACAATATGAATAAAATTAATAAATTTACATAATATAATAATGTGATATATATTTATTGTCTTTGAAAATACATGTCAGTAGAGAACTTTAACAGTAATTTTAAAAATGTCCTAGATTAAAAAAGAAAATAATTGAATCTAATATAGTCTATCAAATTAGAATTAAAATAAAAATTAAAAATTTAAGAGCTTTCCTTTCTGTTTTATATGTGGATGGAATATCTCTGCCATCTTTTATATATAACCATAAAATTTAAAATATCAGAAAAAAAAAAAGAACGCCTCACACACTCCACTAATTTTATAGGTAGATAAATTGAGACCCCTTTGTTACATAACTTACTCAAATTCACAATGTTAGCTTAGCTACAAAGCTGGGACTAGAACCCAAGTCATCTGGTCTCTTTGTAGTCATCTCACTATACTAAGTGAAAGGTCCTATTGTTTTCTAAAAATTCCTATAATGGCCATGAAAATACACCTTTCAGATATAGGAATAAAGAGAACATTAATTAATCTAAGATCTCAACTGTTGCTGCGGTGTAGTAAATTACCTAGTGTGGCTTTTCTACCCACAAGTCTTTGTAAACTCCAAGGTGGGATTTGCTATGAGCAACTGAGGAGCTCCTGATTGTAAATGTTATCCACTTGGGTTATTTTTATTGGGAGTGGCACCAAACAATGTTATGGGAGGTTCCCACTCTCTCTCAGGTGCTTAGAGTTCTGATGCTATGATTGGCTAGTTTGGCCACTCTGCCAGGCTCTAAAGGAGGCCTCCTAGAGGCAGAACTCTCTCTGCTGGTTGAGGAAGACGTGCTGCTGAAAGAGACACGCGCTCCTGAGACACGTGCTGCTGGGAAAGAGACGCAAGAGACACGCATTGCTGAGTAAGACACCGAGGGACATGCACTGCTGGGGGAGAGACTGTGAGAGACTTGGTTGAAAGACAGTGGGCTGGGAGAGAGACTGAGCGTTTTTCCTGAACTTGAATTGTAACCTAGTGCTTCCCTAATAAACCTCATAATCTGTGAGTTCTGTGTGGCCACTGCAGCGAATTATCGAACCCAGGAGAGAGGTGGTGGTGCTTTGGGAGGAACGGTTGGTGAAGGGGCTGGAAGGAGGCAGCATGTTTGGTTGGCCTTATAGGAATAGGCCTTGGGTTACTGCTGGTAATCCTGTCTTCCTCTTGTAGGGTTAGAGAAGGTCAGAAGATGTGGCCTTCCTGCCTTTTTTGCAGTTGCATCCTGAAATCCATCATCACTTTTGCGTCATAACCTCTCTTCTCCTAGGCACGCTTCCCAGTGAATGAGGTGGCAGGGATACCGAGGTAGGCCCACTATTGGGAGACATGTGACTCCTCTAATTAATAGCTTTGACATGATGACTCCCCACAGGACTTGAGGAAACTCTCTTGAAATTATACTGGAGTTTAAAACTTTTCCTATGCAATATTTCTTCCTTTCCTCTCTACTCTACAAAGATTAGATCTGTACTGAAGTCTGATGACTCTCTCAGCCTCCTATTGCTACCTCCTCATTTCCCACAGAAACATGGGGGAGCTGTTCTCAAAACCTACGGCAAGAAGTAGATATAGTGATCCAAAGGATGGAGCGTGGCTGCTTGAAAATGTACTCCCAGATCTTTGACCACAGGGAGCATAACTGACCAATGGCCTCAATTCCTGGGCTCTGAAATGCATCACCACATTGAAGCTGAGGCCACACATGGGTTGTTTCCAAGCTAATGACTGAGATGACAAAGAAACTAAGGCAGACCCATTTCTAAGAAACACAGAACTCCTCTGATAGTAATGTGGGATCAAGAGTAGCTCTGCAGTCTAAAATTTTTCACTCAGTCTTCTTTCCTTAGCTCTCTCAAACCTGCATCACGGTCTGAGGCTCCCAAATCCTCCTCTGGCTCCCTCTCTATTTCCCATCACAGGTATTTCCCTCAATAAACCTCTTGCATGTCTACCTCATTTTGAAGACTGCTTCTTAGAAGGCCGGAACCAAACCCATTGCCTACAACTTGATTCCAACTTAGAGTGACCCTTTATGACAGAGTAGATCTGTGCCATAGAGTTTCTAAGGCTAAAATCTTTAGTGAAGCAGATTGCCCCATCTTACTCCCACAGAGGGGGTGGTTGGTTCAAAATATCAACAGCTATTGGTTAGCAGCCAAGAGTTTAACCACCGTGCCATGAGGGCTCCTTTGAACTAACACATCCCTTGTAAATTAAAAATCCAGGATTCCCTTTATATTTTTTTTATATTATTACACAAGGGTTTATTTTTGTAATTACTAACTTTTTTATTAATTAAATTTTCATTTAGTCCTCTTTAGTTACAAATATTTGTTAAATGTATAAAATATAAATGTCTTTCCTAATTTCATTGTATTGCCCTTTCATTCAGCTGGAAGCACACAAAGAAATCTGAACTAACAATTTTTATTTCAAGGTTCTACATTAGTATGAATTAAAAACATACATTTTTGGTCTGTTGGAATTTTAAAACAGTATTTTAATATAAAAAAGATCTCCCATTGCCTTGATATCTTCTAAAATAAACTCTATATTAATATTTCATTCTTTTACAAGTAGACTAAGAGAGCTTAGATAAAGAAGAAGGGGCTGGTGTCATGACCAAAGTCTTCTGGTACTTTTCTAAATCAACAAGCTTTCTGTCAACTATAGAACTCAAACATGTCCCAACCCAAATAGTGAAATATAATTGAAATTTTTCCAGTGTAACTCAAATGAATAGCTAAAATTACTTAATATATTTTCCTTTATTCAAATATATGGGAGCTCTGGTAGCATAGTGCCTATGGCACTTGACTGTTACCCAGAAGGCTGGTGGTTCAAACCCACCAGTCACTCCTCAGAAGTGGGGCAATCTACTTCTGTAGTGATACTGCCTCAGAAACCCAAGAAGGGGTCACTATGAGTCGGGTCTGACTAGATGCACATAACAACATTCAAATAAATTTTCAACTAGCTTCTAAAGAACTTGTAGAGTTTTGGATGG